GAGGAAAAAAAAAAAAAAAAAAAAAAAAAAGGTTCCATAATTCATATTAAATTCAAAAGATAACGAAAAAACAGCTAGGCCTATATAAAATATGTAAAAAATTTCATAACGAATACCTAGCCATAGAAACGAATATTCGAATATCCAAATATTTGGGCACAACCCTATCCATAAAGTGTTCAGGTTTCATGCAAACACTGTTAAGAAATAAACTGTTTGCTTTTTTCCTCCCAAGATAAAGTTCGTGATTAAATACATTATCTGACTCTTTGTCTTTCTTCACCATCTTTTTAATGAGAGAGGACAAGCGTGTAACTTGCTGCAAGATACTGCTGCTTTCACTAAAACACACTGTTGCCGCTGTTGCGTAAGCTCACACTCAACTCAGGCTGTACTTCAATCCCTGATCACTACGCACCTGTAACTAGTCCCTATTATTAACTGGACATTACACAGGTAGCCACGCCCACACGGTGACAAGCCCCAGACGCACAGCACTTTTTGGCTCCCCCACTTCTGAAATGAATCCAGCGCGCCTGCTGAAACCCCAAAGAAAAGGATTTAACATTCAACTGTTAGTTTACAAGTTAGTAACATTTTGTGACAGTCCACAATGAGACACAAACACATTTGTAACTAACCACAGCAGGAAAGAGAAAATATTCACGACTTGTAAATCAAGGTTAAAACTTTTTAATACATTCAAAGGTCATTTTTAAAATTTCGTAGACTTTTCCATGAGCATTCTCTTGTTTACAGAGCTGTTCTTGGCCTACTTCCAGCATATTTATGTGTGTACATTAAGCTAGAAAATGAAAATAGCTATGCTCTGTGTTCACAGAACATGTTTTTATTGGCAAAGCAGCATTTATGTATGTAGCTCCTTGTATGTGGAATCTTCTGCTGAGGGACTTAAAGTTGCACTCTTTGGTTCCTCTTGGCCATTTCAAAGCACTGTTGCATGCCAAAGTCAGGTTGTATTTTAGCAGGTCTTTGTAATCATGTGTAGTTGCCTCTGTTTTGTGTTTTTATAGTTCACTTATAGCATATGTTAACATACTTTTTGGCTTTTCTTTGTAGTTATCTCATGAGGTCTTTTATATTGCTTGTTTTAGAGATGTGTATTTTGATTTTGTATTTTTGCTCTATGTTGTAACTTTATGTTGCTGCCTGTCTCTTGAAAAATAGAATTTTAATCTCAGAAGGTCTTCTCTGGTTAAATAAATGTTAATAAATAAAAAAATAAAGTTGTTGAGGAAACTGAATTAATTAAATGTATTTTAACACCTGCAGATTACCTGATGCAGTCTGAAGAGTGAAGATAGACAACATCTGGACATATATTGTGGTCATTGTTTCTGTGCATATGATACAATATCTGCCAAGTCTAAACCTTTGCCATAGCAGACTTGTGATATGGGATGTCAAACACCACCTGTGTCATTGCAAATTACAGTGGGAGCACTGATTGGTGAGGCGAAAAAACACAATGACATTACCTTTCAACATTTGTTCAGAATTTCTTCCATGGAAACAAACAGTGAGGAGCTGCAGGTTGTTGGCCATTAATGAAGTGCTATTCAAGCACAGATGGTGAGAGGGTAAAAATAACATTAATGAAGTGAGCGGGAATGAGTCAGTGAGGGGAAGGTGTTTCTTTTTGTAACTTGGCTGCTTTCTGTTTGTAACCAGTTGGCTCAGTAGAGAATACTTAAATTAATGGTTAATGACACGATAACTACATCTAAAACTAATCATCCACACTTTTAATAGGTCTACATTTACATCTGTCGGGAGGACGGAGAGACAAAAAACAGTCAAGATCGTCAAAATGTCTCACCAAAATCCTGGAGTGCTGGGTGAAGACGGCTGCAAGGTTTCATTTGGCGACCGTGTGTGACATCTGCCTGTGGCCTCTGACTCCTAGTCACAATCAGTGAGAAAATCATTTTTTTTGAAACACTGCTTAGCAAAAATATCATTCCATCCTGATGACAGTCCAACACAATGTGGCCATATGTAACATACAGTTTGAGGGAACAGAAGACCTCAGGTATTTTGTGTTGTCTAGCTCCATCATATCTCTTACTCAAAGTCTGATTAATTACATATGTACTGTTTTCCAAAAACAGAACAATAAACAGTCGAACAAAGCTGTTTAATAATGGTGAGGAAAACAGCCTATTTCCTGCTTGGAAGACAAAAAACTGCACGTCAGGTCTGTCTGTCAGACTTCCTCCTCTTTCTATTTGTCATTTGGTGATAAATTCCCAAACCTAGCTCAGATGTGAGTGAGATATTGTTCTCCATTCATAAGATCAAAACCAAAGCATAAACGCCAGCAGTGTCTGCTGGTCAGATGTTGCAGCTGAACATCTTTTTTGTGGTTGGTTTCCGAAATGTGCACAACAGGCATCAAGGCCTAGCAAAGTGTGAGTGACACCAGAGACTTAACTCTGTGTTATTCATAGTTTGGGAATTTTAAACTCAGCTTTCTGCACAAACGCTACAAGCTTTCGCAAACACTGTCCTTCACCACAGTGTAAAAGTCCCTGAATTATTTAAAGGGATTGTTCGGATCATTAAAAGTAGGGTTGTATGAGGTACTTATCCATATTCAGTGTATCACATACAGATGTCAGTCGGCATGCCCCAAGTTTGGAGAAACAGGCAGGAGTGTGACACAGAATCTTAGCAATGTACTGCTGTAGGGGGGTCAGCATTAAACATATTTTAGCCACCTAAAAAAAATCATTATCAGTTTATATGTACACAATATTTAGAATATTTTCACTACTTTACCTTACCGTCAGACAATGATTTCCGATGGGGAACTGAAGCCATTGTGTCACTCTCTTCAAAGCCAGCCTCCATTGAGAAAAACAGTGATTTAACATTGCTGAACAGAAGAACTGCTGGTGTAACTGCCTCAATCAGTAACTCTTATTTTTGTCAGTGTTGACTTTGCCATTTAAAAGGATCAGTTCAGATTCACCAAAGTTTCACCGTAACAAAAACAAACTAACTGATCGAGGTTGCAGCAGACCAGCAGCTCCTGTGTTCAATGAGGCAAAAAAACATTATTTTTGCTAATGGAGTCTGGTGGCTTTGACAAGAGCATAGATGGAAAACTGAAGCTGTTAATGGCTTCATTGCTGGCATGGGCTGTCTGACAGAAAGGTGAAGCTGTGAAAATATTCTGTGTGCACACTTAAACTGTTTTTTTTTAAGTGGCTAAAATATATTTGGTGCTGGCCCTGTCCATAGCAGCACATTGCTTAGCTTCCATGTCGGCCGACTGACATCTTCTGTATGTAATACACTGATTATGGATACGTACCTCATACAAGCCCACTTCAAAAAACCCAAACTGTCCTTTTAAACACAAAATTATTATTTAGGACCGAAATAAACACTGACTCATATCTTATCCCCCACTGTGTTGCTGAGAAACCTCATGAACATGTTGTCCTTGTTAGCCTTCTAACTGCTGAGACCATATTGATGCTGCTGCTGTGTTGTCTCTAAGCTGCTCTCCAGGCCCTTGTTTGGGTTACATGGAATTCTGTAAAAAATGAGTTTCCGTGTATTTTCCTCCTACATATCTTCCCACCAGGGCCCATTCAGCGTGATGCTGAACAGAGGCTGCAAGGGTCACACTGGTGCCATAAAAGCCTCCGAAGTCAGACACATGCATATCAACTTACACGCACACACTAACGTGTCCATAGAGGCCAATAATCAGAAAACACACAAAAGAAAACATCCATAAATACAAAGATGTAGATGAACAGACATGGCTTCCTGGCTAATTTCAGAAACATATCTTGGACATACTAGCCTTGCCATTATGTCATGCTTACAGAAGCTTTATGTGGTGTTGTCACATAGATAGGTAGAGAAAAGGAAGGTCATTCACCTGCATGCTGGAAGCCTCCTGGCTCCACCACTTCTGGAAATCCCTCTGGAGCTTGACCTTTGCCCTCTCCAACAACAGCTGCAGGTGCTCAATCTCTGTCCTCAACTCTTTTAGATGGCCAATGGCGCTGTTGTACCTGACGGCAGATATTAGCAGCACTAAATTCATCTTTTGTCCACATTTCACTGCATCAGCTGTGTCCAATCAATCTAATCGAGGAGAAACTATGAAAACATTTGGGATATAATACATTAAAATGCAGTTTTTACTACACTCACGCCTGTTTTTCTTGCTTAATATGTTTGCACAGGTTTTTTTCCACTGGGTCGACCTCCTCCTCAACTCCTGGGTGATTCCCCATTACACCTATAGTAGAGTTGGATATACAGAAGGCATGGTTTGAAGAAAGACAATATGTGGACATATTGCAGATAAAATCACAAATACAGTCATAATGTTTTCTTTTTTTTTTAAGTCCAGAAGCTGTTAAATGTGTATTGTGAACACGTGAGATTTCCTTCAAAGACAGTGTTTTAAACATTGGCCCTGGATAATAGAAGCCAGGCGGCTGTGAAGTGTTCTCTGATGCGGGACTCAAAATAACAAGGAAAGCCTTTGGTGCCTAAACTGGAGGGGGATGTTTGTGTGCTTTACAACCAGATTTCCTCATCAAAGCATGTATGTCACTGATCAAAACAGTAAGCCAAGAGTAAATGAAGGCGTTTTAGAGTTGTGACGCCCAGTCTTTTGGTCACTAAGCTTTCAGTCAGCAAGGACTACTGCAAAGGCTTTGAAGTGGCCACTGTTATACATAGAGTAAAGAGCAATCACAATGTTTACTGCCCACCTCGGAAAGGATTCAATATCAAAAAGATGATAAACAGAGTTTAAATTTGTGACAGCTTTGTTCATCTTGTCAGTTGATACTTGAGCTCAGAGCCAGCTGTCTGAATTCAAATCCGAGTGTAAACCTGGATTCTCAGTAAAGCTATGTTTAAACTGTGAGCCTCAGTGCTCAATTACTGCTCAAATCCGATTTTTTTTTGTTCGGCTGTTAACATTATTTTTTAAATGTGGCCAATATCAGATTCCAGATTCTAGTCCTGAAATCACCTGTATGTGCACATGAACAGTATGAAAGATGTCACATGCAGCACGCTGTCATACAGGACGTAAAAATGGAGGCCACTGGAGTCCTTGCTTACAGTCATTTATAAGTCGATGTGCAGAGGAAACAAGCAAATTCATTAGCAGATGAGCAGACAGAAAGCACTTTTTTAAAGATATTTCTTTAGGGCTTTTTTATTGCCTTTACTATAGCTTTAGAGTGACAGGAAAGGGGTGTAAGAGAGGGAGAATGACACTCAGCTGCGGGTTTGAATCGAACCCAGGCTGCTGCCGAGGACTTTATCCTGCACACTCTTTCCCAGGTAAGCTAGAGGTTGTCCCAAGGAGCCAGATTTTTAATTATGACTTTTTGTGGAGCAATGGCTGCTGCTTCTGTACTGAGCCATGCCTGGATGTGGAGTCGGGGCCAGGAGTGGTGGAACTGCGATGTGAATGGCTTTACTGAAACAGATTTCATCCAAAATTTCTGGATGTCAAAGAGTACTTTTAACTACATCTGTCAGCGCCTGACCACAAGACTCTTGCAGCAGCATACTCATTTAAGGGACCTATTTATGAGTGATGTAAAGGTCGCATGAATTCCGCTTTGACTATTCAGACTGCTGTTGCTCAGATCTGTATCTGATTTAGGACCATTTATGAAAAGCGGCCCAAATTATATTTGTTAAGGTCTGATTCCAGGTGATTTTTGCTGTTTACACTGTTTTGAAAAAAAAAAAAGAGCAGAAAAATCACTTCATGGCCTTATTCTAAGTTCTATAAAAGGCAAGAGTGCGAGGTGGAGATTTAACACATGATGCATTTAATTGCTTCAAGTGTCCATGCCTTGTTTAGCTGTGTGTGGGTAGACAGAATTGGATATCATGGTGCTCATGGTTAAGGCTTTGCTGTGGGAATATCTATTGTCAGTTTGATCTTACCATGAGCTGCTCTCTGCCTCCTCTGCACCTCCAACTGCTTCTTCAACTCATCTGAGAAAGAAAGAAATTACATTTTTAAAACATTTTCCCCCATTACCACATTAAAAAAGACAAAGTATGTCTTTTTTTTTTGAGTTCCGTTACAGTATACCACTTTACCACCACCTGAAACTAACAAATCCATTGTATACACTGTGAAGATTAGAATCGACCAACTCCTAAACTTTATTCTCCACACATTACATTAGAGCTATCTTTGCCGATCCTGGGATAACAATTAAGGTTCATGTTTTAAAAGTTATATCTAATGAAAAGCAGTTGTTTTGAAAAAAAAAATAAAAATAAAAATCAAAAAACATTTTTGTAAGAAAGTTTTATTCTGAAAAAGAGACATACATTGAATATTATACAATGACTCATTGCAAGAATGACTGAGGGTGCTGGATGATAACACACACCACAATTCAGGATTCAGTGCCTACTAAACACCTTCCTCACGCCTCACATTTGTAAAAAAGAATCAAGTCTTCAAGTCCAAGCTAAGAAACCACAGAAGAGATTGTATAACTTTATCCACAGGCTAACTTATTGTGATGAATAAAGCGAACTTCATGGGTAGAACTGGTGGAGAGTCTCTTTAATGTAGCAGCTCGTAGCCATAGCTGTGATCTTAAGACCCTGACACACCAAGCAGACGGTCAGTCGTCAGTGAATGATGAACCGTCAATAAGCGTCCGGCGCCCTCGTCAGTGTGGTGTGTCCCGAACCGTGGACCCTCATTGACGCTAGTCACTTTTTTTCCTGTCGATTGATCAGGCTGAACTGCCGTTGGAGATGGCGGAGCCCATAGGTGAATGAAATCACTCTGATTGGCAGTTCAGCTCAGTGCACAAGAAGAGAAACGGAAGTGAGGAATGTAAACAAAGAGCTGAAGTCAAGAGCAAAACAAACTTGTTATATAAGATAAGATTGTTTTTCTTTAGCTCTTCAACTCTTTAGCAGAAACATTTTCTTATAAGTGCTAACTGGCTAACTAGCGTCAAGACAGTGTTCTGGTTTAACTTTTTGAGTGATAATTACAGACTACCGTCGCCTGATGTCAAGGAGGTGCATTTCCTTTCACACAGGCGCAGAACGTCTTTGCTAGCTGGCTGTCGATTGTAGTCTCTGAGGTGTGTTCATGTGCAACCTTTTGGATGAGATACAGGCAATGTGAAGCAATGCGGCAGGCGGCTTTCTTCGCCGCTGGTTCTCTGATGTTAGTTTGGTGTGTCTGAACCTTTAGTCCACGAGGAGATGTCACTGTAAACACATCTCTTCTTGTCTCTGAATTCTCTTCACACAAAAAACTTAAAAATGATATTAACTTAGGACAGGATGTACTGCTGAGTTACACACTTCCACAGTCCTCAGAATGAACTTTTGTGACTCCACTGAGCCAGGAAGTAACATGAGGGAGGCTTTTTGGGTCACTGCCTCTCTTGTGGCAGTAATACCGGGTTAACATATGGGTAAGTAATTTGTGTTCTGTTTTCACTGTTTCTCTTCCCCTAATTTATGTAGTTAATTGCCCCATTAAAGATATTGAGTTTGTGAAGCAATGCCTCAGTGGCAAAGGCCAACTGTAAAGTAAATGAACTAGAGATTATTGTATGGGTCATATTTGAGGCCATTTCTGTCCACATTAAATGACCACATTAGTTTGTGTTGGAACATTCAGGGATGCATTTACTATATGACAACAAAAGGAGATAATTTCACATTGGCAGGTTATCACATAGTGAGTAACATTAACAACCAAGATAAAAGACAATGAGTCACTGAATGGCAGTTCTGTGGTGAGTTTCCATTACAATCCCTCAGGTCTTATATACAAGTAGACAGCGCTGTGCTGTAGCTTTTTATGTAATACGACGCTATCGCTAATCTAAAAGCCGAGGTCTGAGCTTCAAAAATGAGAAATCCAGATGAAGTATCATTTTGCTGAAAAAGAAACAGAGTGTGGGGAGCTACCTTTTCATGCAACACCTCTAATGGTGCCATAAAACAGCTGGATCAGAGCTCTCACTTTAAGAGAAGATGAAGACACTGAAAGCATTTAAGACAAACATCTGTCCTGCTGATGTGACCTTGAGTATAGCGGAGTCTCTCATAGAGATCCTGGGATTTATAAAATATAACAATATTATTATTACAGACTCCAGGTTGAGATTTACATCAGTGCTCAACATTTCACTGATAAATGTTTTGCAATCTGCCCACGAAACACACACACAGAAGCTCATCTTTCAAAAAACACCTTTTTAAACACAGACCACTTTTGGGGGTTTCAGCAGACGGTGGAGACGTGAATGGATGATGTGAAACTTAACAAATGACACACAGGGACATATTGTGCCCACGATGAAACTGTTTTTCCTAATGCCTATGGAGCATGAAGCAGGGTTTGGGAACCCTCTCACAATGTCTGCAGTTCAAGTAGCTGAGAATGTAAATGAGCTGAGACGCCCTGTGGCTTTACATTGTGGCCAGCCCAAGTCTTCTAACAGACACAACTTTCTCTAACATGACCCATAACTAACCGATGTATAGTCTCCTACTTTCACAATAACATAAAAGGATTAAGAAATATTTATGCCGTGAGTATGCCATGTTGACAGGGTGAAGGAGTGCTGGGAGCACATTAACAGAAACATAAAGAGCACATGGGCCAACACTACCCGTGTGGCTTACATCAGTCATGGCATGCACTGAAGCTTTTTTAAAACCCCAAGGCCAAGCAGTTACACATGATGACTACCTATATTTGGCAGGGTCATAGTGCAACAATTGGAGGTGCTTTATGCCCGAGTGATGTCCTCCCAGTTCCAGATGATAATGCAGATATATTATATTCTGCTCAAGCAATCTGGTGTGAGAATAAACTTTGTTGCTCTTGGCCATACTGTTAAAAATATACATATCTCAGTGGTGACTGAATTTGGTCAGAAGATCCCGTTCAAGTGCCAAAAACTGCAATTTCAACAGCGCTTCTGACCTTCAATGACGAGAAAAATTCCATACAAGATTAATTTGCATACGTGTCAAGTAATAGTGGTGTGCGGTGTGCTTGCTGCAATACTTCATTACACTTGAGTGCTCCTATCCCCCTTCCAGGACAAGACTGTGGGCTCAACACCGCAACCTCTTCCAAACCATGCAGGGTTCCCCCCACATTGTCGGGAGACATGCCGTCGTCTTAAAAGGCCGGTGTCAAGCTACAAGCCTCAATAAATATTTGGTGATTTTCGTGGCCTGGAGGTTAAACGTGATATGCCGCACATTACCGCAGTGAGCTGGAGATCCAAGGATCATACGTACCATCCAGCTTCTCAGTATCTGGGTGGGTGCTGATTCAAGTCTATGTGAAGAATGAATGCATCATTACAAGGGAACTACGCCCATTTTCAAAATTCATACTCTGTGCCTATGGTCCAAGACAGTCCAAAAATAGGGTGTAAAGTGTGGAGCCGCTCCACATACATGAATTGGGAAAGACATTCTAGCTGACACTGAGAGCTCTCAGGAGAATGTTCTGAGTATATGGGACATTTCTGTTTCAGATCTGAGAACATTATAATATAATAAAGCTCATTTGGGTATAAAGAAGAGAATAAACATTCTGTGGGTCATACAATCAGCCTTCTATTCATTGTCTATGGAGCAGCTCCAGATTTTATACCCTATGACATCACAAGTTTGAGACTTCTCTGATTTTGGGCTATGTGAGAGAGTAGCTCATGTTCATAAATATTGACTGAATTTTCCTGGGCCATGGAAATAACATACTGTACTGTACTGTGGAAATTTTAATTTAGGTGGTGTTTCCCTTTAAGTCAGTACACAAAGTAATAGGTATTTCACTGCTAGAAAGACAGTCTTTTCATAAAACTGGGCTTTCTATGCAGGCACAAATACTTTTGATATTGGTGCTATATGCACAGAGAAAACAGAAAACAGACTGTGGCATTTGTTCTTACTTAAAAGGATAGTGCACCCAAAAATGAAAATTTAGCCATTATCTACTCACCCAACAGAGTTCAAATGACGTTTTTCCAAACAACATTTTTATGTCGGGGCTTCAGGACACTTGGATCACTACGGATGAGCAGTATGGAGATATGTGGTTTCAATTATGTGTTTTTGGCTGTTTGAATCTGGGGCGCCGTAAGCCTCCATTAGGTGGAGTTGTGCTGCTACCCACTCTCCCCTTGGATCTCCGCAAGTGATGTGAGGACTCTAAAACTTCACCTGAGCCTCCATCGGCATATGGGTGAGTAGATAATGGCTGAATTTTCATTTTTGGGTGCACTATCCCTTTAAGAGGTAGGAAGCCTACAAATACCAGAAAGCACTACACTGCACCAGACCAATAAACACTCCCACTAGGATGCGAGCTTGGCTGTTTTGACACAGGAAACGAAATGGTGGCCAGCTGTCAACAAACAATCTGGAATTACAGTTAAAAAGCAAGCTGAAATATGTTTCTGAAAACATTAGAGATGAGAAATAAAGTAGTAAAACAATATTGGTTCATATTTGATCAGCATTGTCTAATTTTACCATTTGATCTCAGTTTTTTCAGCCTCGGTTTGTACAATACAGAAAACAGTATGGCGGCCACTTCCAGTTCACAAACGGTCGTTCTACAGCGAAACAGTGCACTAAAATATGTTAGGAAAGATATATGAGGTGAGAAATAGGCAATATAGTAACAGAATCTCGTTTATATTCAATCAGCACTGCCTAGTTTTACTATTTCATCAGAGTTTGGTCTGAGTTTGAGAGAGAGGGGCGGTTCTCTTTTCCACTTCTATACTCTTTGTATCTTTGGTGGCGGGCACACAAAAATGTGGTAGTACAATCTGTAGTCTGGGCAACAGCCCTAGAGACAGTGGACCAGTTTGAGCTGGTAGATGAGCAGGAAGATTTGGGAGCTGGTGAGATGGAGGGAAGTTTACCATAGTTCATTTACACATACTACCCACGCTGTTATGATCCAGAGCTGGCTGAAAATCTGCAAAGTATCTATTTAAGTGCATATCTATAATTTGACTAATAACCTACAACCACAAAAGTTGCATATTTAAAAGGAAACATACAAATAAAGAGTTTTTAATACTAAACCAGAAATATTATAGAAACCACTCTAATGAACGGCTGATGACATTAGCACTGTAAGTAGTCATGTAAAATCTAGTGGCTGTTTATTACATAGACAACCTGCAATACAGAAATCAAGTTACTTTCTTCCTGCTGTATTTCTTCTCAAGTGCTTTGGAACAATCTTCTTGGCACTGATATATGTTTTAGGCTCCAACAGACCTTCCATAAAATCTATCTGAGAGTCTTTTGGTCACTTTAGCAAAGGTGAGCAGAGGATGAATGTGGGATACCCAAGCAGTTACCAGATGCCTCATCTCAGACTTTACTGCATAAATCCCCCCACATCTGGCAGAGAAATCAAGAGACGCTGCTCATTTCCAGCTGCCCTACACCTTTTATGCAGCAGAAGATGTGCATCGCTGATCCCTCTGAATAAATATATATCCTTGCACTTTTTGGACCTAAGGGCTTGGAACGTATATGCTCCTCCAGTGGGACTGGATTCCAGAGCCGTATGCTGTGGCCAAGAACAATACTGTAAACCAGGGAAATGTTTAGACACTGATGTCTCCACGGGCTACCGCCTCTCCCTTTCTCTCCTGCTACTGACCCTCATGCTGGGTACATCCATCAGAAAAAGCAGCACAAGGCTTTTGTCTATATTATGCTAAATGTTTCCATGTTCTACATTAACCATGAGACACAGGTAGTGTAAAATTTCCAAGAAGGGCTTCCAAGATGGCAAGGAAACACACTGAGCTAAACATTATGGTACTACTTTCCATCCAGAAGAGGCAACCACCTTCCACTAAAAACACTGTCTCTCATCTCGGAAGAATGCAGCCCCATGCACCTAACAACGTAATAATATCTGACAGCATCAAGATGTTTTGTGAGTATCGTTCCAAATTTGAAAAAGGTGAAGAATTCAAATGTTAAATCTTATAAAAAAAAAACTACAATAATTTACTAAATTTAGTGTCTCCATACTACACCCACACAGTGATGATGTCTGCAGAGCATATTTGAAGAGTTAAAATTCTACATGATGTCATAGCTGATGTCTGTGTGATGTATGACACGTCTGATATACGGCTGTGTCAGCACCTAGTTGTCTGAATGCTAAAAAAAGTCTGAATTCCGAGGGTGATAAGTGTGCGCTGGCATGTATGAGGGTAACAGCCGAATGCTACCAAACCACCAAGCGTGATCTGAGGCAGCGATGATGCCAGGCACTGGTGTGAGGCAAACCTATCCATTTCAATGGCATGTGAAATGAGCCACAAACACACACAGTCCAGGGAAATTCATAAATGTAGCTTGCAGTAGTAAATGCAAACCAGATTGAGCCCTAATAACACATTGTAACTACTTTGAGTTTACTGGAAAATTCAACCAAAGTGCAGTGAAATCATTTAAACTTATTGACACTGGGGACAGTGCTTGTGTTTACGTAGCCCTGTGTAACTCATTATAATACATTACTGAAAAAAAAGTTAATAGTACTGTGACAAATCAATATGGAGTCATGTTTAACAATGATGAGGACTTTTCTTTTATCTTATTAAATAATCACAAAGGCAATAAACAGACACTTTGGGGTGGAAGTAATGAATTACATTTACTTGTGATTGTAACAAAGTCATTTTGTGTCCATTCTTGAGTATATTTTTCATTAATTTTACTTAAGTATTCTTTTTTACTTCAAGTCAAAACAATTTTATTCGTATGGCCCAACATCACATATTAAAAATGTGCCTAAAGGGACTTTAAGTTCAAGTACTGTACCATGCTATATTTCAAGTTGCATCCATTACAGAGTAAGAACAAAGTCACATGAGTCAGTATAGATAAACTGAGAGAGACTGGAATAGAAGAAAGAAGATGAATCAGCAGCTGCATCAGAGAAGAAGCTGCTGGTGTGTTTGCAGCTGCAGAAGGGCAGGGGTCCACAAAGCTTCATGTCTAGAGAGGTGACACACATTCTGGAAAATATTCATGTTTTATATGTTAACACCCACTAGTGGTGTCTAAGGCAGAGTCCTGCACCAGGCAGGGTACCTGCAGTTACCTGCCACGTAACCTGCAAAAAAAATGTTTAACAGGTAAAAAATGTACAGGTACGTGCAAGGGTAAAAATGATCTAAATGCAGGCAGGCAGTGGGTGAAAACAAAAATGTGTTTGCTTTTTCTGGAGACATAAAAAAATGATTGTGTGGTATTTTTAACATTTAAATCAGCTCATATTATCAAGCCTAACAAGCCGCCAGGATTTTCTTAAACTATGAAAGCCTACGACATAACCCTGCTCGCCCTCCTGGCATCAAGCGCAGCCAGTAAGAGGTTTCTGCCATGCTTGATTATGATTTGAATTCATATTACATGATCTAATTCCACAGTAAAGTAGTGCAAATAAAGCCCTTTAAAGTGGATGCCTGTGTAGCCTGTGTGTTTCATGACGAGTCGGGTCGTGGAACTTATAATCATCGGTTGGTTCTGGTACTGATGTGTGTGTGGGTGTGGGTGGGTTGTTTGCAAAACTGAACCCCTGCAGGACTCTCGTGTAATGAAGTGCAAGGGATGCAGTCACTCCTTGGCCAGGCCTAGCAGTTTGTGAACTGTACAAAAAAATGCATAAAAATGCAACAAAAAAAGATTAAGGATGACGTCAATATGGGTTATGGTTACCGTCACCGCACCTCGTGATAGGGAAACAAAGAAAGTCACATCTTCCTAAATTTATCACGACATTAATGCACCACCTGGCGAGCAAGTTAAGTGACCCTAATCAAACACACCCACAATACTCTGTGACCAACTGGTGCATGCTGGGTCTAGCTTAATGCTCATGGTGGATCATCCAGCAGGGACTTCTACGTTCATTAAGGAATTTAGTGAGGTGTGAACAATCTCTCGACTGTTTTTGGTCATCCCTGTTGTGACTACATTCATTCCACTTAATATGCCTGAAAACTATTTGAGAAGTCCAGCGGGACAAGAGAGGTTGAGTGGACTGATAATATTATGCACCGTAAATGAATGAGCAAAAACTAACCCCATATAGATTTTGGAGGAGTTTTCAGAGAACGAGGCTCTCAGAATGCTGCTCAGACAGGTGTGTAAGACATCAAACTCATTAACAGTATATATGAGACACATATATATACACACACACACACACACACACACACATATATATATATATATGTATGATCACAACAGAGAAAGTCCGAGGTAAACTGCATAATCACTCAGCATTGACTGAAGCTAAGGTTTATGCCAGGCCTGGTTTTGGCATAGTAAGGCTACCTGTCAAGGACATTGCTGAGAAGAACACAGGGGTGTGCTTACAAAGTGGTCATAAAACAGCCTGAGCCAGGCTAGTAAAAAGCACAGGTTGGAAGACTAGGTGGGTGGAAATCAGAACGCCTCTCAGTCCTGGAAAAGTTCAGGAATGTGCTGAGCGACATTTCTGCACTCCAGGGAAACAGAACCCCGACAGTGTTCTGTTCATTAAGATTTTCCAGGCAGGTAGGCTGGTGTCATCTGGGACACAGAGAACGTTAACAGAAATTATCAGCGTTCTTCAGGGCTTGCAAAATAGTCTCTGTTTGCCATTAGGATAATGATGATGATGACAGTGAAATGTAAAATTGAATGTTTTCACAGCTTCTAAATGTAATGTGATTTCTGCAGAGAGACAACTTACTTATTCTGCTTCTAGCCTCATTGAGTTTCTTTCCAATTCCTTTGGCCTCAGCTGACCTATTCAAAAAAACACAGGTGTTAATGGGCAATGGAAGCAAAAAGAGACATTTAATAAACTGAATGTAGTAAACTAACAATGAGCCTGCCATGTGCAATATCTTTTTCATGTTGAAGGCAAATAAGAATTAAGTATTTGTAGTTAAGTACTGCATAAAACATTACCATATCTCTGTTGACATGTTGTCATCTCATAAATAGCCATGCACTAAATAAAGGTTGTAAATACATTTTTAAATCCTAGCAGCCTCTGCAAGTTGTAACAGTCCCAGTGAAAATGAAACATAGCCAACTGTAAGTTCTCCTCAATGGCCAATGTGCAGCACTTGCTTGGTTGGTCATGTTTTGACAACTATCTATGAATTTTTTGAAAACGCTCATAGAGCGCCCGCTTTGAATGCTGTCACTCGATTGAATGACTGTTATCAGGGGTTAGTAGCCTCAGATATGGATTAGAAGGGGCCTGCTAGACCCACTAGTAAGTGGTGACCTCTAGTGGCTGCTGTAATTACGACTGGAGCAAAGAAAGAAGTCATAACATCTGGTAGGAAGTCAGGGAGATGCATGGGTTAAACAATCACAGGACACAAGTCACAACCTCACATCACGTCACGTCACGTCACGTCACGTCACGTCACGTACACGTTACACACGTTACGTCACTGGGAATCCCTGCGAGAAGCGAGACGCAAGTGAGACATGAGCACTGTGTAAGCATCCTGTCATCCACTCCACACTGACTCTGTCTGTCTTCCATAAACATGCAGCTGTCTGTCAGCAGCAGCCTCATGGAGTCAGTGTGGATTGATACATTTAATAAAATGGAAGCAAATCTTTTCCACGAGACGCACAAGTGACAGACATCAAAAATGCTTCTAAAAATGTTTTCAGTGGGGATTGGCTGACAAATCACTTTACATAACAATTGTACTTTATATTATTATATATTATTATTTATAATGCAAACCATCATCTTTTTTCTTAATCTAACCTTCATGTACAGTACAGTATACGCATGAGTAGCATATATGTTTGTATGTGGTCTATAAGGGGTGTTGAAATGACTTTCTGTGATTTATGAGAAAATAGCATTGAATGAGAGCTAACCATAAATACCACATATGACACTGCTTACATTGCTCATACAGAGGACGGAAGTAGCTCAGTCCATAGAGACCGAAGGGTTGCGAACCGGAGGGTCATCGGTTCAAGTCCCCGTTTGGACCAAATATGGAGCGTGGATTGGTAGCTGGAGAGGTGCCAGTTTGCCTCCTGGGCACTGCCAAGGTGCCCTTGAGCAAGCAACTGCTTGGGACACCTGTCCATGGGCAGCCCCTTTGCTCTGACATCTCTCTAAGTTTAATGCATGTATAGGTCCTGTTTGTGCGTGTGTGTATTTTGGGTCTGTGTGTATATGACGAGTGAACAAAGTTGAATCTCCACTCGGGGATTAATAAAGTATATCTTCTTCTACTGCAGAACAAGGCTGCCAGCAATTGGGCAACATAAGCATGCAAATTTATCAAAACTGTCCCAACAACTTGTCCTACTGGTCACTGACCTCTGTTTGAGTAGCTCCTTGTTGTCTTTAATGGTCACATGGTCCTCATGGTCTCTTACGAAGATCTCAAAGGCCTCTTGCTTTCCCATAGACAGCTGTGGACCTGATACAAAAAGATCAAATATTAATAATCTAATCATATGAAGCTGCAGTTAATATCACTTGGTCCATGCTGAAAACATTTGCTAAACTTTAAAATCTAAACGCAAACCTATCCGAACTACTATCCTAACAAGACTGCATGCCTGTCATACTACTGAAACAAATCAACTATCTAAGGGAAGGTGTGTCGGGTCCTGAGCCCTGAGCTGTACACATTCCCACACATCCACAGGTACTTGCAATCTGGAAGCCAGATGCGAGCTCGAGCCCCACTGATACTTTTGACCTACCACCTATTACTACGTAATTACAAATCTAAATGTCTATTAGCCTGCCATTCACTGTTTTAAGAGAACATAAACACAAATACAAACAGCAACTCTGAGCATGCCAGCATTACATGGTGGATGCCCCCCACCTGACTTTGGCAACTTGCCACAAGTGAGGAATCTACATCATTTTGGACATAACATCCTGCTGATTGTTGATTTTTTTTATAGGCTTGTAATATAATTTAATGAGCATTTTTCTTACAGTGCTATACATCTGCTTCATATTTTTACTATAGGAATAAACCAAAACACACTGATTACTTAAAATATGCATTTGCAAACATCAGATTTAATTGAAAATGACTATTTGCCAATGACTGAAGGGTCACATTGTGTGTAAAAGGGAAGGGGAAAAGAAGACATTATGCCAAATGTGTAAGGCAACACTGAGCTCCTCTGCTGTGGCAAGGTGTCTTCATAGGTAAAATATTTTAAACAACATTTCATATCACTGAATATACTTTGAAAACGAGCACAGACCTTTTTTTTTTTTTTTTTTTTACAGTGAATATTTTGACATGCCACAGCAGAAAATGTGTAACCAGTAACATTAGTGATGACTTTATCCATCAAGTGTCCCACTCCATTGAGTCAGGATGCTAATTACCAGGGTCTTAGAGGTAGCTCACCTACTGTAGATTGAAGGTAGTGGTTTTTAATGTTACTGATTATTATTATTTAAACCTGACAAGACAAGGTCTACTTACTCTATGGGGTATGGTGGCCGACAAGGCAAAAGCACTACAATGGCCCAAAACATTTCCATAAGGAAAAACATGCTGCAGCTTCAGAAACTATACCAATTTAAAAAACACAAAAATCCAGGAAATTCAAGACAAATACAATGAAAACGTTCTGTAAATGATAGAATTGTGCAGCAGAAAGCCAAAACAAATACATAAACAGCAAATGCAGAAACAATGCAAAGTCAAAAACACCCAAAAATCGAATGCAACAGAAAATCACTGCATACCCCATCAACACAGGACTCCAGACCTCTAGGGGGAGCTCAAAGCGGAATATTTTGATTTTCGACCCCAGAGGGACCAGACGGGAGAGTGTGTTTGATATTAAGGTGGGAAGAAAAGTGGTCTAAAGAGGCAACATAAAAATGTAATGTTACCATGGATGTATAAAGAGACCTGGATACAGCTTTGAAGGTGGGACCCTGTTCAATGCCATGGAAGTTGCTCAGTGGCGCATAAAGCCGAAATGGTTCAACTGCTGCAAATAAAAGTACCCAGATGATCCAGGGATTATTGGCACTGCTTCCAAACTGTACGGCCCAAAGAGCAGGCACACAGGGGACTTCTGCTGGCTGAGCTGGCTACTTCCAGTTTAACACTCCATTACCATGAACGAAGATAAAATGAGTCAATTGTGCAGGTTTTGTAGACTTCCAAATGTTACTGAAGCGAATGGATTAAATCCCGATAGTGAAATAAGTCATTTCGCAGGGCTTCTGACACTCAAAAAATGTATCCACTGATTTACAGATGTCTCTTTCACCATGTAAGTCAATAGGAACAAGTCTTTTTGGGCCACAGGACATTACTAATGGTGTAATTACACTCTTTGGTCAAGAGGAAAATTGACTTCAAAGTTGGCCTCAAGCTTCCTGGGGGTATGAATGTTATGTATTCTTTTACAATTGGCTTTGGCCTTTTACAATATTATGAGAGGGCAACAGATTCATGTGGCTCCCCCTGGAGGCCCCGAGACCTTTCGCTGTATTGACTAGATATGCAGCGTTTTTCTATTGCATCTGTTTTTTGTTTTGTTTTAATTACTTTGAATTGTTTCTGTATTTGCAGTGCGTTTGCTGTCAATGTATTTGTTTTGGCATTTGCAGCACATTTCCATTGTTTTCCGTTGCTTTCCGAGTGATGCACAGGTTGACCCAGTCACAGGTTGACCCATGGGTCAGGCAGTTTGGACAGTCCAGGTAAGCTCATTAGAAAATATCATGGGTTTTGGGCAGGCGGGTCATAAAGTCACAATGCAGCGTTATGAGTAAGTTCTTACAGTTTACAGAAACAATGATCCAGCCACCATCTTCTCCTCCTCTCTCTGTTTCTCTCTCTGTCTCCCTCACACAACAAGCTCTTTACTCGGTCCTGCACTCATGGTTTCCTTTATCCAGTCATAATGCTCGGTAAAGACATTTCCCTCTGCAAATATGTAGGTCTAAAACCATGTCATAACAGCAAGCAAGTCTAATGTCATATTAACAAACCACTGCACCTATCACCTGTGCGCTAATGTAAACAAACCACATGGATTATCAGCTGTGCACTCGAGATCAGAGGCTTAAGATGTAACCACTTAAAAGATGAGTAATTGCTGTCTTTCTGTTGTTTGTACTTTTTAAAAACACACGTTTTATATTGTGATATTTACTGGAAATGACATACAATATAGCCAACAGCAAGTAGCCCATTACCAGAAACAGTTTGTGGGTTTGCAGTTTGGGTTTGGGGCATTGATTAATGCATATGTTTATGGGTCAGGCGGGGCGGGTTGGCTCTCGTAAATGGGCCGGATTGGTGCAGGTTTTAAAAACCCCCCGACCAAGGCATCACTAGTTGCCACTAAATCATATTGGCAGGTAAATATTAAAACTGTACCATAATAATCAGTCTGTGTGGTCGTTTGTCACTTTTCACATACTCAAAAACGTGAAGTTGCTTTGTGGTGATACACTGACTCTCAGAAGTTTGGTTGAGCATTCTCATTCCTCTGAAGAGAATCACCCGCAGATACATCAGCCAATCTATCAAAGCTCTTTCTCAACCTGACAAATCAAATTTACAGTAACAAGGTCTGTGTTTCCAACAAGCCAGCATTTCCCGGTACACTATGTAAGACAGAACTGGACAGTGCATGACCTAATCTTATAAAAGAACACAAACCAGCATTATTTTGTAAGATTTCCGAAAAAAAAACAAAAAAAAAACAACCCAAACCCAAAGCTTCACAATGATTTCCAGTTTCCATCCTTGTTTAAATGTGTGTATCTTTGTGACAAAGCTGTTCTACCCAAAGACATACACAAGACAGTAACTCATGTGAGATTAATTGTTGGACAGTCAGGAATTTTGTTTCTTTATTTTTGGAAAGTCCTGATTGAAACCAGGAGACATCTCACAGTCATACACTGTGTTGAAAGAGCCAACCTCAACAAATCAGTTGAGGGGGTTTCTTGAGGGAAATGCACTCCGTTCGACTCTTGTTAAAATAGAAAAGAAAAAAAAGCAACATTCCAGGAATATCTAAGAGTGATATGACATCATATTATGTTGTACTAACATAATTTGTGGGGTAATGAGATCACATGGACCTTAGGCCAACTTTCCTAATTCTTCTTTTCCGTGCTTCGTGTGCTGACAAACCACAGAGGTTTTACAGGAGAGGAATGTGTTGTGACTATTGTTGCTGTTTCAACAAATTTTAGAAATAAAAATACCAGCAAAGTGAAGTATGACCAAACTGTTCCATCAATTTATGAAAAGAAAAATGTCTGACCCCAACTGTTTGTGGAGAAAAACGTATGTGGTTAAAGGTGAAATGTGCAAGATATGTACAGAATTTTAGTTTAAAACATTCAAAAAATGAATTATCATAATCAATAGAGAGTGAAGAAGTAACAGTTTTGACTTTATGTTGAAGACGTCCCTGTGTTACGTTAAGATATCTACTGAAATGACATCGCTGACCAGCTGGCCTCGGCCCCATCTTGTCTAATACCACTTATACCTTGAGAGGCGCTGCTGAGTCACTGTGGCGTCCAGTCTGCCCTCAGTCCAACGTAAGAAGACAAAGCAGTGTAACTGTCCAAGCTGAAGGTACAGCTCTCATTTAGTGGCACAGTAAACACAAGGGACTCCCCCAAAACAGAGTTTCACCAGAGGCGGTGCCTTACATCCTCCATCACACAGAGGGTTGTGTGCCTGAGGTTCTTGTCAGCTTGCACTGGGTCGTTGGTAGTCTCGCCACTTTTTGGATAAGCTAGCAAAAACTGTTACCTAAAAAGCCGTTTATTAACCTAATCTTAGCCTTAACCACAAGATTAAATTACAGGAGACCTCCTGCCTAACTGTAATTTCAAACAGAGATGATTTTATTTTTTGTGATCACCAATTTACAAAAATACACTTAGAGTTTTGCTCCTTGTACTGCTGGCATGGCTGCAACCGCAACTAGACCTTCTTCAGATTTCCAAATGACTTTAACCTAACTGCTGATAAAGTTTCAAATTGACTATCATAACATTTTGTTGGAAAATATGCACAACTTCACAGCGCTTAAATATTTTGACATTTAGGACTAAATTATGTTCAACAACAAAAATCTTCTCAGACAGGGCTTTGTATTCTGATATCAGTGGAGTATCTTGCATCAATAACCTGAATAATTCAGGAATTTTGTTATGCATTCTTACAAAGGTGCACATACGTTACCATATAAAGTATCAATGCACACTCAGAGCACGGGCTGAGACTACATAGTCATGGAGCTGCAGCTGCTACAAGCGAAACGTGCACTGCTACATCCTGCAAAACTACACCCATCTGGATGAAACCCATGTTTAAGGGAGTACTGTGAACAAAAAGAGGACTGAAGCTATTGGCAACCAAACCTTTTTTATCATTCAAAACACCCGCAGTGT